GTGTCGCGTAACGTTCGGCATCCCACGCCATGCTCGTAGTCTAACCCCGCCGGATCGACGCACTCCTGGTAGTTGAAGGTGAAAAACCAGCGACTACACGTTCCATTGCCTCGCTTCTCGTTGCTAAGGTTACCAGACCACCACGAGCAGTCCCGTATCGTCACTCATCTTCGTCCAAAAGCATTGCTGAGAGATAAGTACAGAGTTAAAGTGATTACGTCACGAATTTCTAGCACCATCAAGTAGTATATTCGTGTGTTATTTGTACAAAATAAAATGTATGAAAATACAATTAGTGTTTCTGTTTACTTTTCATGCTTATATAACCTACCTTCTTTATATGCCCTAATTTGACGGTAAAAAAACGAGAGACGCCAGTATCTGAACAGTACTGGGGGAATAGTGTTAGACAACAGAAATTACCAAATCGTCTAGATTTTTGCAAATTTAACCAACGTAAAAACATTTTTCTCAGGTGAGAGTTTGAGGATATATTTAGTAACGTTAGTTCTTACTTTTAATGTAAAAAATGGCAATTTTTTTTTACAAATTTTACCATTGAAAATTCGTAACGTAGTCAATTTAATAGTAAGAGAGTAAGTAGAAAATAATAAGCGGTAAATAATAATAGGAGTATAGGAGTAATAGTAGAGAGTAATGGTAAGAGAGATATATTTGACGTGAAGAGCCGCATAACTTTTGGCGCGAAAGCAAAATGCGACATTGTGATGTTATCATTGGGAGGATTGGGTGGTTTTCTGTCTCACGTTTAGAATTGTGCCGAATCAGTAATGTGTTTTTGGCGATGCGTCGTCACGCATTATTGAGACGTCTTGCGTTAGAATAAAACACGTTGGAGAAGTAAAATCGCGCTTGGAATGAAGAGAGGGTAGGCTACGTGTTATCATTGTTACATAAACGATGCCATTGTCCATCCCATCGGCTCTCTCCCACGCGCACTGGTTGACTCTTCTTCTCTCGCACGGTGCGGGGTATCTGACATTTCTCGGTGGTCCTGAAACTGGAGTCGTGTGGAGGAGTCAGTATAAAGCCTAGCGCAGACTTGCGACTTTTTCATGCAACTCGGCTGCGATGTGCATAAAAAAGTCGCAAGTCTGCGGGAATGTGGGATACTGCAACTCGTAGCGATTCTGGTCGCTTGCAACGAGTTGCAAGAAATCAAACAGGTTTGATTTTCAGCAACTCGTCGCTCGCATTCGCAATTAATATGAGCAGTAACTGTGTTTACGTACGTGTAGGACCTAGAACATAACTAACACGTAGAACTAGTAGCTATAACTAGTGACTAACTAGCAACGAATCTCTAGCGTAAAACACAAAGATTGTCGCACGCTGGTTGTATAGATTAAACTGAGGCGTACATCGTATTTTCAATAATGGTGAATTTCTCGCCGCTTTCTTGAGTAATATATTTTTAATCAAAATTCATTATTATAAACAAATTTGTTTTTTAATTCACATCCGATAAGATAATCACATGCGAAACCCTCGTCCTATATCGAAAGGAGCGACGTTATATATTATATTATATAATATATATATATATATATATATATATTATTTTAACGACCTTACCATCCGCACTGTTGACACTGCGCGCTCTTTTCTTCCGGGAGGTCCGCCCATGCCCATCCCTGCACTCCCGGCGGGTCTGGCCAGCCTGCATGCCCGGCCTGTCCGTGCGACATGCCTGAAAAATTTGACACGCAAGGCCCCAATTCGGTTACTTTGCTCGTCTCTGTGGAGATCTGTGTTATGTTGACTGCTGACTGATTTGATACAGTCGCTCATCTTACCAGCTCGTTTGAAATATTTGATAATTTCGGCCCCACGATGAGTTACGAGTTAGAAATTTCTCACGAACGGAGACATAACAAATTATTATAGCTAATCACTACCTGCGACATGGTTCGGAGCATAACCTTATGACCGATCAAGCACGCGGGGTGCGATATCCCAGTGCTACGTTTGTTTATACTACCGTAAAAAGACATATTCGACTCGTAAAAATGAAACTCGCGTCAGTATATTGATCAACTAGCTTGCAGCTAAAATAGTTCGATTACCGATCAACAATAGTTTTTTCTTCAATAAAAAATTAGTTGGCAATAGTTAATACAAATCGATATATATATACTATATATATATATATATAGTGAGAGAGAGAGAGAGAAAAGATAAGAGGGGCCAAAGCGACACGAGAGAGAGAGAAGCGAGAAAGAGAGAGAGAGAGGAGTGAAGAGAGAGGAGAGAGTAGAGAGAGAGAGAAAGAAAAGAAGAGAGTAAGCGAGACAAAGAGAGAGGAGAGAGGGAGAGAGAGAGAGAGAGGAGAGGAGAGAGGATGAGGAGAGGGGAGACTGCGAGAGAGAGAGACGAGAGAGAGAGGAGAGAACTGAGAGAGAGAGAGAGAGAGATGAGAGAGAGGAGGAGAGAGAGGAGGGCGTGAAGAGAAGTAAGAGGAAGAGAAGAGAGGACGAAAAGAGAGAGAGAAGAGAGAGAGAGCGCGGGAGACAAAGCAGGAGAGAGAGATGAGCAGAGAGAGAGAGAGTAGAAGGAGAGAGAGAGGGATAGAGAGAGGAGAGAGAGAGGAGAGAGAGTAGAAGAGAGAGAGAGAGAAGTGACTTGAAAATTGCGAATACGCTAACGAACACACATAACTTCATAGTTTACCTCGCGCATGCTAGAAGGAGTAGGTCTAAGATACGTATTGTAACCGCTCCAGCTCCATCAAACGCGATGCCAGACAGACGAACAACACACCCAGAACACTGCCAGGTTACGAGGTAAGTACCGCAGCCATCGAGACTTCAACTTCTTTCCTCTGCCTAGCTCAGCCGTCGGCTATGGGCGTTACTCGCGGGCTGTCCGAGCATCACGAGGGGTGTTGCTACCCCCCGGCGCGTGGAGGGAGGGGGGGGGGCGGTCACGCTGCATACAGTTTTGACGGTATATCTTCAAAACTTAACGAGCTAACATAACACTAACTCCAACACTAATCCTAACACTTAACTATCTTATAATTAAATTCGCATCTCTATATAATAGGGGTGCAATACCACCAAAATTAATCTATGGTGTGGGGACAGAATATCATGATGCAAAACCCTAACCCTAACCTGATCCTAACCTTAATCCTAACACTAGCTGCTGGCCACGTTCCGCAGTACTGTCCCCCGCCGAGAGATAGGCATTCCCATCACGCAGAGGTGGGACTTTACGCACACACCAAACACACACACACACACACCACACAACACCACACCACACACACACACAGACGCGACGCACGCGCACGCACACACACCACAGCCACACACACACACAGGCCCAACACACCACACACCACACACACACACCACACACACACACACACACACACACACCCACACACACACAACACACACACCACACACCCACACGCAACACACCACACAGACGCACGCACGGCGCAGGCACACTACAGCACACACACAGACGCAGCACTACACGCACCGGCACACCACCTCACAACTCAGCAGACACACACCGATGGTGGGATCTTCGTAAAGATTTATTTACGTAGCTCGACTGCGATCACTCGAGGATGTTTTACGAAGCGGGAGCCGCTGTCCGCTATAACTTCATCTTGGATAAACAAGAAGCATTTCTGATTTTGCGAAAGCTGAGAAGACGACTCCGGCGGGGGGGGGGAGGTGGCCTGGGACGGTGTCTCGTTACCCGACGTGACGTCGTGTGTGTGTGTGTGCGTTTGCGTGTGTGCGTCTGTGTGTGTGCTGTGTGTGTTGTGCGTGCGTGCGGCTGATGTTGTGCTGTGATGTGTGTGTGCGTGCGGCGTGGTGTTGTTGTGTGTGGTTGCTGTGTGTGTGCGTGCGTGATGCTGTGTGTGTGGATTTGTGTGTGCGTGCGGTGCGTGCGTGCGTGCGTGCGTTGGTGCGTGGTATTAACGCGCCCTTAACCGTCACGGTAAAACGAAACGTTGGGAGTCGGTGGTCGTGAGGCGGTTGAAATTCTCTCTATTACACGTACTATTTAACTAACAATTTATTTACACGTGATCTGTTGAAAGTGTAGATGGAGTAGTCGCCGGGGAAAGATAAGTTGAAAAATGACAGAAAAACGTATGGCACGTTCAACGATTCTGAGAATGAAGGAAAAGTGTGCAATGACAACTGTTAGGCTCACCACAAAAAAAGGACACAAATGACGTGAGTGAGAACGAACGTCCAGTTTTAATTGAGCAACCATCGCACCGTACATTATAGAAAAACAAGAGTATGATATGGGAGAAACTCCAATTATATACTCTTGTATATTATGTGTAATTTTTTTATGTGAAAATAAACGTTTGAGATTTGATAGTCCTGAATGTGGTGCGAGTTGATGGCGTTACACCTAAATGAACTCCATTTAACGTTATTTATAGATATATCAGATTTGAACTGCCTAAAGCGGCAGCTTCCCATGTGTAAGCGTGTAAGATTCTGACGAGGATACGCTTATTCACAGCGTAGCTGCTATATACCACATGACAATGGTGTTTCTCCGTGCCATAACACACACTTTTGTCAAAAGTTAATGGTTGGCATGGAAGTGTTTACTTATGCAGTTTTTCTAGGCGTAGCACACAGGTTGCCATCTGTATTTCGCGCAATAACATAATTTATAAACCATACAACTGAAATAATCACAAATTTGTGACGGTAGATGGCGCTATACCCGCCTTTGATGTTTACTTAGCGATGGCGTTCGAAATAAATAGGTTATGCTGCGTTCCGACAATGTTTTGTAAAACTTTACTCTAACATATTAGACGTTTATCGGCAGGGTGGAGAGGAAAAATACCAATTTTGCCATTTAAAGATATTTGTCAACGAAATCTTTGGTAAAACGAACAGACGAGTGTGACACCCAGACTGTTATCGGCCGCTGTCTATAACATAATATGCTTATAATTGCAAAAGCCTACCTAATTTGCCATTATTTTCTTTTTTTTAAATATCAAACCCTGGCCTTATTCATCACCACTACAAAGAATGAAGCCAAAATCGGTTGAACCTGACTGACATGGCAATTCCATTTTTTGGCTCAAAAAATTGCCGTAGCTCGAATTACGTCGGACTGCGTTGCTCCAAAATAGGCCGTTACAATATGGGAGCATAGGTATACAACTATACCCAATTTCAAAAACATGTGGGGTCAATACGGTTCTGAAGTTATCGTTGACCGTAGCAAATGGTTAACGGAAGGAGGAGGACGAACGGACGGACGAACGGGACGACGGCGACGGAGGCGACGGACGACGACATGGGCCAATAGGCTCATCTTGCGTCATGTCAAGGTGAGCTAAAAATGTAGGTGTTAATGTTTACTGTATATTCTATCACAGAGTTCCTTGTACGAATCGCGCGTAAAGTACATGAGCAATATAGCCATTGCGATCGCTCGTCGCGCTTAGGCCACCAAGACAATACTTTTGCTAGGCCAACCTTACCACTTAAAAAGAAACGGGGCATGCAGGAAGAAGATGTGGGAATTAATGGCGCATGTGAGAAATATAGTATTTGTAGGAAAATAGGCATATTGATGTTACATTACGTAGTCTATGATTTAAAATGTTTATGAAATCAGTGTTTAGTTCTTTCGCGAGTGGTAATTTTGCCTTACGAAGGCAGCTGAGCTGTAACGCAATGGATACATAACGCACACCTTATACGATCTATTATGGTAGAGCCAGATAATACATGTGAGTTATTTCTTATTTACACATCAAGCAGTAAATATACTAGGGTCATCTTATATACGAGGAAAATCTTGTATACATATATACGCTCTCGCTTCACTCTCCCTGGAACAAACAAATTGATGCTCACCGGGATTTTCCCTCCAAGCTCGTGCGAACATAGCAAAATAAATTGAGACCATTATTACTCGAAATCGCCCCCAAACTGCACCGACCATCGGCAAGCGTCAAGGCGCATGCTTTTTCGGGCGAAACGAAAACGACACGTATTTCTACGTAGAGGGCGTCACATTCGCGGCTCGCGATGCCGAGCGAGGCTGCGATTCTCTTGTCGGTTGCCGCGGTGCGCGGTTGAACTATGCCGCCAACGAGATCGCACGGTGACGGCGACAGGAAACGCGATGTATGGCCGCGCGCGGAGTCCGACTAGCCTAACCGAGGGATGCCATCTTTGGTCGAAAATGGCTGATGGAGATTATTACGCTTCGTTTCGCTTTCGTAGTCGTGCTGCCGGCCCCCACCCTCCTCCTGCGTGGCGGTGTCGTCCAAGCAGACCCACAGACTCTCTCTCCCCACCTTACAATGCAGATTCCCTTCCCGCCATAGCACGGTCTGAGAAGAAGAGGGAAGACTGGGGCAGTGCTGATGATTAAGATGCGCACGACTCGCCCGCGTCGTCCACTCCCGGATGGTTCGTCTGCTAGCGTCTGCGAGCGTTGTCTGTCCGTTGCCTGTGGCTTCAGCTTCTGCCTTGTTCAGCTGGCCTCGACAAACTCCTCCAGCTTCTCTGGATGCTGACGAACCGTTCTGAGAGAAAGAAAACGACATTTACGTTCGGAATAGAGAAGTTTAGGGTAGGATGCTGATGCCCGATCAGGGTTAGGGTCTGCATTAAACGTTAGGGTTACGGGTTGGTGTTAGGGATATGCTTAGGGTTAGGGGTTACGGATTAGGGTTAGTGTTAGGATTACGGTTAGTGTTAGTGTTAGGGTCAGGTGCAGCGGTCAGGGTCAGGGTCTGCATTAAAGTTAGGGTAGAGTTAGGGTTTAGAGGTAGGGTTAGAGTATAGGAGGGCAGGCGTCAGGGTCAGGGTCTGGGCATTAAGTTAAGGTTGAGTTAGGGTCCAGGTAGCTAGGGTTAGAATTAGAGAGAGAGAGAAGAGAAGGAGAGAGAGAGGAGAGAGAGAGAGAGAGAGAGAGAGAGAGAGCAGAAAGAGAAGAGAGAGGAGAGAGAGAGAGAGAGAGAGAGAGAGATGAGAGACAAAATAACGAGAATCCTCCGGCAAGATTCAGCGGACGTCGCAGTTTTTTTTCGCGCGGCACCGATTTCGCGGTCGCTAGCATACATCGCCTTCCTAACGGAAAGCGCAGACCGAACAGCTGGAAACTCACTCAGTCCTGCTAGCTGGACGCGTCGCCTCGGTCAGCAGTGCTCCTTCCTCTCACCGGGCGTTCTCGACTGTTAAGTATCACTCCAGCCCTAAGGCAAAAGACACGCCCCTCATCAGGGTTATACGGGGGTTGCTATTGAGAACTAGTAACAAGCAGGGAAAAAAAAAATATATTTATTTCGGGGGCTCTTTTCAAGGTCGCGTGGCATACAATAGGCACTGCTAAAATTTGGTTTTGGCATGTGAACTCTATGCAAATTTACGAGGGCTCTTTTTGGAATTTCCGGTGGCTCTTTTTTGGCATTTCGGGGGGCTAAATCGCGCTCAAGCCCCGTGTATTTTTTTCACTAGTGAACAACGCATTAAGTATAACTGGTTTGAACCACTATTCAGCTGGCGACGTTAAGAAATTTTTGGAATTCATCTCGACGAAAAAACGCTTTCATACTTGCCGTTATACAATTTTTTCACGTCAATGAGTCCCACTCATGCTCAGCAACATTTAGCGATGTTAATGTGATTTTTCATGTGATTTTGTTTATAGCACAACCTGTATGAGGCGCACACCACACACACGTCATCTCTCACGACTGTTTAATCTCCTTCTCTACGGCGTGCTGCCCTCGGTGTTCATCCACCTGCTGCCGCAGCGCATATGCTCGTTACCTGCAGGCATTTCCGCTGGATTCTCCAGAACACACGATACGTCATGACACTCCATCCTGCACATGAACACGCCGAACACACACTGTGGCTTAAACGCATGTAACCCACGTCCCATGACACTCCTCTGCACATGCACACAGCCGAAGCACACCAGCGTGGTTTAAACAGCATGTTAACACCTCATGACACTCCATCTGGCACATGAACACAGCCGGAACACACCCTGTGGCTTAAACACATGTACCACCGTCATGACACTACCCCTCTGCGCTGGGCAACGATGAAACAGCCGAAGCTAGCAGCGTGGCTTAGACACGAGGATGGCGTGGGATGCCGAACGTTCACGCATCCAATGAGTGAACTGAACTGCCAATCCATCTGCAGCACGACACGGCCCAGAAACAGATAGCGTGGCTTAAGGGGGGCTTTCTCGGGCTTGGCGAGCCGCTTCGACTCGAAGCGAACTGGATTTTGAGCAGACTGAAGCAATCGCTCAGCGACTAGTTTGCGTGCCCGGTTTGCGCCATGTTTCTATTCCGAGCAACTAGTGGCGGCCAGTCACGCAGGCAGATCGCGGTCTTGGCAGTCTGACCGCTGCTAAGCAACTCGGCAGGTCCGCTAGTGACTTGGCAGCGCAGTGTGCTTCGCAGTCGAGTTGGCTCGCAAGCCCGACATAAGCCCCCTTTAAACACGTGTCTCACGCAATGCCCGACGTGCATCAACAAATCACAATCCCACGCATGCATCAAACGAGTGAACTACTGATGCTGGAACACTACTAATATATGGGGATTCATTTGCACAGGGCCATCACAACACGACTTAGACACACGATGGCATGGGACGCACGACGTTCAGGCATCAACGATTGACCACGACTGTGGAACCAGGTCTGATGCCTTTAACATGACACAACACGATGCATCTAACAAGTTAGACGGGGGGAATGGCGTGAAATGCGCGCCTGCACTTACGCGATTCCGTTTGTAGCCCTGCTGGTAGTGGTAGAATCCCTTCTTGCAGTCCTGCGATCGCTGCAGCGACATCTTCAGGAAGAAGTGTCGGTAGACGTGGAACCACGTTTCTCGGATCTGAAACAATCAAGCGCAGCGTGAGGGTACATTGTACGAACGTGGGAGTCTCTATATACGTATCTGCGTGAACAGGAACGTTGACAAGCTCAAACTTGAAGGACAACTCTGATCGACTGGCATGAAATTATTAAATTTCGACGTGAATCCAAAAGTAAATATTGTTTATGATAGAATAAAATGCGGCGACGTGATTTCAGAAAAGATAATTTGCATATTTACTAGTGCTTACTTAATATTACTTATATTACCAGTATTTGTAATTACCTATCTCCAATTTATTGTGCCTAGGATCATACGTGAATTTACAAAATAATCACAGAGATAGATAGAGAGAAACAGAGAATAAAAGAGAAAGAGAAGTCATTAGACATCTAGTCGGAAAAAGAAGAAATAAAACGAAATGTAAGAAAAATAAAGTCGATAAACCCCAAACTGTGGCACTCACAAATTCATTGTCAACCTCTACGGACCTCGTTTGTAGGTTTTTCCTCGTGGCCGTTAACTCGTCCACGGTTAGTTGGGTTTTAGGCTTCTAAACGAAGAAAACAATAACAGTCGAGTCATGCACACGGAACCCAGACCGTGGCGGCTCCCGATGGCCAACGCGGCGCATGGTCGCGCATGCCGGATCAGCGGAACTGGTGTCCTAAGCACGAAGATGCATACACCTGAACACCAGGTGGTACCATCCTAAGAGAGCCCAGCAAGGTGTGTGCACTTGGATGCCAAATTACACTTCCATCTTCAACAATACACTCCCAGTAGACAATGGTTTCGTCTCTACCGGGAGTGGGCTACAACGCCCCCTAAGAAAAGGCATCAAGGTGTATGCACTTGGACACCAAAAGGCACCACACCAACAGAAGGCATCAAGGTGTATGCACTTGGACACCAGGTGGCGCCGGCATGCGCACGCGCAGGAGCAGGAAGCCGCCACGTTCCTCGATCCAACGAAGCGCGCCTAACCCGAGGGTTTAGGCGGCGCCGCACAAACGAACGATCGCACGAACTCTTACAAATTCAAAGTTGATATCGTATCCTTCCGTCTGGAGATTTTTTCGCACAGTGGTCAACTCTTCACGCTCGATTAAGTGACCGTGGATCTAGAAACACATATCAACGGGCTAGTTTGACCCTCCAGTTTGATCCTCGTCTCTCTCTCGACGAGTAACTTAGTCGCCAGACAACAACGGCAACAATTTTTTTAACCGAAAATGAACCAGAAATCGATTACGTAGTAAAAAAAAAACGCGTAACTATCCGTTTTACTTCGCGCGTATAGACATCTTTAGTCGAATTCGCGCGCCGGCGATTTTCGCCGCACATAGAAAACAAAACTCGCACCGCCGTGAGTCGATCGCGAGTGTCAGGTGGGGCCCTCCCTACCTGGTTTCCCTGGAGAATCTTGCTGAGTTCGGCGACGGTGGCTCGGCGCTGCCGCTGTGCGTCCGTCTGCGTCTTCCAGTACATCCACTGTTCGCGCATGCTGGGTCCTAGCAGCTCTCTCATCTGCTCATCGCCTGCGCGGCGGAGGAAGACGGGTTTAGATGCGGGAATGCCAGCAGGGATAATGACGGCTTGCGGGCGGGCAGTAATGCCACGGTTGTTGACTTCACGCTCTCTCTCTCTCTCTCTCTCTCTCTCTCTCTCTCTCTCTCTCTCTCTCTCTCTCTCTCTCTCTCTCCCCTGTATTTCTCTCCCTCCTCTGCCCCTCTTTCTCTCTCACTCTCTCTATCTCCTTCCTCCCAGCCTCCCTCTTTCAGCACCAAATACACCCACATAACACAGTTCACTGTGCGCGCAAACCCTCACTTTGGTCGAGGCGTTCCTGTAGGAAGGTCTCCATAAACTTGATGGCCAGGTCCCACTGCTGCTTGTCTGGCACGGCCCTGTCCTCCAGAGCGTTCAGCTGTATGACTCGCTGTACGACCGGGAAAAAAGTAGGAGCACGTGACAATTAGCAAAGTAATTAGCAAAAAGCAATAGCAGTAATTATCAAAGTTTATGGAGTGATTAACCGTTTTGTTTGTAATGTATATAATGTAATCAAATTAATGTTACTTTATATTTAATTTTAATTTCATATTTAATAGTATACAATATTTTACGCAAAATATAGTCAGGGCAGCATACATATCTTCTGACCAGACAGCGACAGTTCCGCCATCTATAGGTCGTATTTACACTTAAAAACGCGCGGGTGGCACCGTCACGAAATTGGCACGCACCAGCGAATCGGGAGCCTTCTGGTCCCAGTGATGCTTATTGGCTGCTTCGTCGATGACCGCCATCTTGAGACTGTCAAAGATGTTGTCGTGGTCCTTGTTCTTCTTGTCGTTGTCAACCATCTCCTTGAACTGCAGCATCAGCGTGTCCCAGCCGACCTTGGGAGACAAACGGCAAAGGTCAACAACTGCCTCAGTAAACGGAGCGATAAAACAAGAGGACATCTAGAGCCATCTGATGACAGTTCAAACAAACAATCATCGCAGAGAATGTTGATTGTCGAAGACGGCAGATCGGCTGTCGAAACTATCGCTAAGGTTGACATTATTCCTGGGATTTATTTCCAAAGTTAATAATTTTAAATGATATAACGAAATCTGACGGCATTACACCAAGAAAAATTGGAGAGTACACGAAATGGGCTCAAATTTATCCTATTAATAGTATTTTATAACATTGATTTTGGCGATTAGACCATTCAGCATAAGGCAAATCAGCTGAGATTAAGGGATAATAATATATAACTGATCATTTGGGTGTATTGTGTATAGGGAGGGCATGTTGACATAAGGCGAATATTTATGCTATATTTGAATAGATTACGAATATTTACGCTCTGACTCATACGTCCCGGACTCTCACCTCGACACATTTTCTGGGCAGCAGGTTGTC